ATTTCGTTTATCTTCAAACCAGCCCAGGGGGAGTTGGGGGAGTTTGGCAGATCTATAATTCTTGTATTTTTTCAGTAAATTTAGCTTCATATCCTGACATTCTTGATCAAACCAGGGTTTGGAGTTTTTATATGCTGAGGATTGCCTACTTGGCCTGTTCCTTTTTTCCTTCAGGGAATCTTGAAGGAGTAAAATTAACTCCTGAAATAAATTTATCTTTAATTCATGGCTTGAGGAAGTTATAAGGTTTTCTCTCTTAGTGAGGAATTCCTTTGAGCATAGCCTACTTGAAATTTCCTTATGCAGTTCATCTGTCCATCTAATGCGCGAATATCTGAGCTCCAAAGCTGTAGGGCTCGAATGCTCGATTTTTTCAGCGCAGGATAAATCCTTTCCCGCAGCTACGAGTGCACTTAATGGCAGATGGTCACTGTCTAAGCGCTCCTCCACTTTGCATTCCAGAACTTTGTTTTGAAGATCATACGACACGATTATATAATCAATTGTGGAGGCGCCATTGTTAGATATAAATGTGAATTCTCCGACTTTCTCCCCCTCTGTACGGCCATTTAGTATAACCAAGTCCAACTTATTGACCAAGTGTAGTAAGCATAAGCCGGCATAATTGCAGCCTTTATCCTTTGAGATTCTAGCTGGTATTGGGTGGGTTTCCTCTATAATGGGGACTGTTTCGTGGAAATGGGCACACAAAGCCTCATCAGATTGTCCAGTTCTGGCATTTAGGTCGCCTGCCACCACTACAGAGGCATCAGGAAATTGATTTAGTAGTTTGTCAAGATACTGTTCTAACTGAGCCCAAGTATTTCTTATCAATCTTTTCTCTCTTTGTGGGGGTAGGTATACATTAATCAGCAGCCAGCTGTGGGTTCTCCACTGTACTTGCACAGCTGTGGCCAGATGGTCTAGTGGGTCTAGTTTTTTAAATGTGGCCCTTAGCCTTGTTGAGATTAAAGTAACTAGCCCACCTTTAACTCGCCCCCCTCTAGTACTTAAAAGACCTGGGAGGGAGAACGCAGAAAAACCATTTAACTCCACTTCACTTGTGCTCCAGGTCTCCTGGAGAAACGCAATGTCATGTCTCTGGATATATTTAGCAAAGGATTGGTCAGAAACCCTCTTTTGCCAACCTGCAATATTCCAAGTTAGCAAGGCAAGGTTGCACGTTGTCTTGCCAAAAATTGATCTTAGTCAATTTGCCTTTAAAAGATTTTTTGGGCCTATCTTTTTATCTGTTGGTTGAATTTCATTCATTTTGGCAATGTCCATAGATGTATTATCGCCCAGGTACTCAGTGGAATCAGTTGAAGGGTGCAGCGTGCTAACATTAGTGATCAGTACTCCTTTTTTTGGCGAATCTACCTTGAGGTGTTCTATTTGACTGATACCAAGTTCATCCTCATCCAGGTATCTCATGCTGGTCCAGGAGCGCGTTGTGGTTGTCATAGGGATGGTTTCCTTCTTAGATGGTAGATTGTTGCTGTCCCTTACGCACTGTTTTAGATCTGTTGCTGTCAGGTTTATCTCCGCAATTGTAGAGGTATTATAAGAGTAATCTTTCATGGGGTCTGTCTTGGCTTTTTCAGAGAGATTCTCTTTCTTCAATTGGTCCGTTGCCGGTTCTTTCTCTCTTACTTTTTCCTGAGCATTCATCTCTGTTAACTTATTTCTAAGGGTCTCCAATCTTCTCAAGATCTCAGATTGGACAAGGAAAGGCAACAATCCAAACTGATTTATTAATGCCTTTTCTTCTGGATAGAAGTTATCCATCCCCTCATTAGGCAATCTCATCTCCTGTCTTAGTTTCAAGGGCCCTTGCTCAGTATGTTCCAGTTTGTCTTTTGAGTGTCCTCTCTCCTCCTTTGGTTTACAAGTAAATCTTATCTCAGCTGTCGTAAACTCATCAGGGAACTATTTCAAACATGTGCTGTTTTCGAAAAATCTTGTTACCGTTATCCTTTTTTTGACAGCAGATGTCTTGATCTATATATATATTTAGCCAAGTTTTGATCTTTGAAGGAGGCAATCACTCGCAGAGAATATCCATTGTAGAATATGAAATCTACTGAGATAATGTCATTTAATTTTATTTTCCCTGGCAGCATATCATCTAAAATATTCACAAAATGCACCGAGCGTTCTTCCTGTGTAAGGAAGCCCTTTGGCTTCGGGTAGTTAAGAAAAGCTAACTTCCTATCTGCCAACATCAGTTTCCATCCTTTATCCTGGGGCAAGTCTTGCCCTGCTACTGGCTCATCTTGAAATCTGCCATAATCAATAGTATGGGGTGAGTCTTCTTTAATATTTGTGGATGCTTGGGGTTTCAGCATAGAGCACCCGGGTAGTGATTCCGTTTCCTCACTTGTTTTGTTAGGCAGCAATGATGTTTCTTTCAAAGACTTCAGCTGGATCTTTTTTCCTGGATCCACACTGTTGTTCTCTCTGCTGCCATGTATAGCAGGTTTGTTAGAGTTTGTTTTTGATTTTGTTGGAATCAGCTTATATAGTCTTTTCCAGCATACTTTGCATGCACGTCGGTTTGTAACAGATTTCCTTGCAGTTTTTATATTCTTACTTTTCTTTTTAGTTTCAGCTTTCTTCTTGTGGGATCTCTTACCAATGCCTCGCTTCTTTTGATTTACTTCGATAGGAAATTCAGTTTTAGGGGCAGATACATACAGCCCTATGTCCTTTCCTTGGTGTAAATGATTTTCCGCTGCTGATCCTTGTGTGCACTTGCTGGTTGCTGGTTGCTTTGTATATTCTAGCTCTTGAGGGGTGGTTTGTGGATCAACACCATGAGGTTCTGAGCCTTTAGCTTGGAGGGGATAATTTTCCACTAATGTCAGGAGCAGCCCATTTGTTATTGTTAAATATTTTTTCATAGCTGCCAGATCCAGATTTATAGAGAGCAGCCAGTCCTGAGGATAGCAGTCATTGTTTTCCGTCTGGGAGCCCATAGATGAAGTCTGGGGTTTCTGGGAGTTTCGGGTTTCTTCCTGTAACTCTGAAGATAATATCTCAGCCAAGACTATTTCATGGGCCAGGCTCATTGTATTTCTATTTTGGTTGTTATTCTCCGTGTCCTGTATTCCTCTAGAGAAGGTTGAGTGATCTTGAGCAGCAGAGGGAAAAAGAAGAGCCTCATCCTGCTTCAACTCAGCCATCTCAGCCATCTTTTGCTCATTTCCATTTCCATTCTCATTGTCCCTTGTGTGTAAAAAGTATTGCGTGATTTTACTCTGTTTCTCATGACACTCCTGGAACAATGGACTTGCCACTATCCCCAGGTCCCTACGTTTCTTTCTAGTAAGTACCATTTGTAAATCTTTGTCCACCCAGCTATGGGCTAAGGTCCAAAATGAGGCAAGATTTGGGATAGCTGTTTGTAATTTGTAATTTGATAGTTTATAGTTCAGAGCGTAACACGGAGTTGGCAGTAAATCAGTTGTCACCCGTTTTCCTTATTGTCGGTCAGACTTGAAGGGCGCGGCATCGCGGGGAGCAAAACCCTCCGGACATCAAGATAACAAGGTAGCAAGGTAGCAAAGGAGCTCATTTTTTTAGAAGCAACAAGCTAAAAGGACTATTAAACTACTTAAAAAAACTCTGGAGGAGTTAAAATATATTATAAAGGGAGTTTCAGAGGTTGGCTCGGTGTCGAGCCTATTTAAAAAGCAGATTTAGAACTTGCCTCAGATAACCTCCAGAACTCTGCAGCTAGTTCGGCGGCCATCTTCCTGATACTCGTGCAAAATAATACTCGGCGGCCATCTTCCTGATACTCGTGAAAATAAAATAAAATTATTTTTAAAAAGAATTAACAAGGTGGGCAGCATCGTGTATGAGTGTCAGGTGAATACACCTTAGGCCTGTGACTTGGCATCTTCAAAGGTCCATCACCAAGCATGCCTACAGGAACCAAGAAAGTCCACCCTCAAATTCTGTGCCATCCAGTGAGAGTTGAAGTTCTGTTCCTGGAGCAGTAGTATTTAAAACTGAAATAAAACAAGAGGGAACTAGAAGGGCTGAAGATAGCAAGAAGCGTAGTATTCATGCAGGGATGTTGAGAGCAGGGTATGTCACTCAACCAGGAGAATCTCTCTCTCACTGGAACCTTCAAAATAAGTCATTTTTCATCAAACATGAAGAATTTTAGGCATTAGCAGTAAATAGTGCTATTCCTTAAAACTGAATCTATTTCAATAGGCTAGCATACACATATGCTTCTGTAAGCTTTATTATCCTCCAATTTTGCTGGCTTGGCAATTCACAGGCAGCTTAGAATTCATGTTGGGTGGGGAGGAGAGAAAAGCAGCTACTATGAGATCTATACAAAACTGAAATCAAATACATTACTGACAACTGAACTGAGGTGGGAGCTTAGGAAAGGTGTGCTTAGAATGCTGCAATAAGAAAAAGGACAAGACCTCTACAGTACTAGACTACTGTTTGGTTCAATTTAATGCCAGCTGCACTGTTCAAGTTATCCTGTTAACAGCTCAAGCAGAACTTTCCTAGCCCTGCCAATTAGGATATTGTAACTATAGGTAGCAGGCACTTAACCTTAAATATTTAAGTTTTGAATTGATACCACCAACCATGAGAAGGACTGGAACTGAAGAGAAAGTGACAGCCATGATTCAAAGGTATGCGGCCTGGGAAAGAGAAGGGTCTGCTTCCCATCCTGGCAACCCCCAATGACTATGTTATGTGGAAAGAAAGGGGCCAAGTATAATCAGTTCTGTTTAACACTACTATATATGGATTATTGTTCTCCTAGAGTTGTTAAAGTGCCATAGCTGGTAGTTGGGTAGAGGGATTGTACATTTACTAAGCTATGGATAACAAGATAACAATGCAGCTATCCTTGCCTTATCCTTTCTAAAGCATTAACTGAATGTTGCCAGCATACAGAGAACAGTCTGCTATGCTTTTCTAGCAGTCATATTCACCAGGGATTGGAACAATATAAAAGGATACTCTTTTAAGACAAGGTATGGTTTAATGTAAAAATCAGATAACAATTAACACCTGAATTAAAACTATCTTAACACAATACAGTGTTAAACAAAAAGTCCTGTAAAATATATGAAAATGTATATACAGATGGGAAAGCGTCAATGTTGAAGGATGAACTGAAGTTACAGAAACAAAGTAAGGTTCTAAATGCAAAACATACTTTACAACCCATATATGTCCATTTATTCTGAAGGAAAAAAATTACACAAACCCAGTACCAAAAATTACAAAACATTTTTTTTTGTTTTCCTCCCTCTTGTCTTGCCTTCAGTTTCTCCAGCAGGCTTAACTGTAGATTTGGAATGTTCTTCTTTCACTGTTTTCTTTTTTTCTTTTTTTAATGGTGTCTTTTCAATGCTTTCTAGTTGTTAAAAAAAAAAAAGATGATTTGAGGCCAAACTTTTTGATATTCTCTCTTTAGTAGCAAGATTAGATAAAAATATAACATTCTAATTATCAAGATATCTTTCTTCTGTTCAGAGCAGTTCATTCCAGGCAGTTATTCACTCTTTCCAAACTGACTTGACATCATAACTAAGGGAAACCCTGTGGTAGATGTTTGGAGTCCTATCTCTCACATAAGGCCACAGTTAAGGAAATTGGCTGCAAGGTGCAGGATCCCTCAAACCCACCTCAGGATCACTGCTTCCAAAAAGTTCACATGGAGGAAATTTAATATTGTCCTATTGAAAGCTATTTCAGACCATAGCAGATAACTTTAAAAAATAGTAAGTAGTAAATTCTAAGCATTACTTATTTTAAAAATCTGTAAGCATGTTAGCCCCACAGTTCATCTCTAAACCAAATCAATGCTAGATACCTTTGAATCAAAGGAGACTTTTCTAAGTACAGCAAGATGATTCCTCAGATATATTGACATTCAAGCTGCCAAAGAAGGCATTTTATTCCAACTCATAACAATTAAATGTTCTATATTGTGCAGTAACAAGCAGACTTTGCTTCAACCTATCAGTTATGGACATTTCAGTTTTGTTTGTAGCTGCTGATCACAAGACAGCAGTATTATCTAATTAGAAATATTTTAAAGGTATTCCCTTTAATGGGAAATGTGAAAGTATATGCTGCTGTTATTGTTGGCGTCCATCTGTCTCAAGAGACAATGAAGGGCACCTTCCAAGGGTGAAGTCAAATTGTTGCATTAGCAGCACTGAAGTGACCTCCTCAGGAAACAAGCTTAGACAAGTGTGGTCCTGCTTCACTGATGTGGTTCAAAGGAAAGCAGAGCAATACATTTGGCATCATTGCTTAGGAAATATATCAGGTGTGGAGAACATTTAGCCTTCCAGATGCTGCTGAACTGAATTCTGCATCATCCCAGGCCATTGGCTTGCTGGGGCTGATGGGAGTTTAGAAAATTTCCCGCGCACCTGAAATACATGATAAATGGGAAATTTGCTTTCAACATGCTTTTTGAATTGCTGATTCAAAACAATCCACCTTGGTAATGTGGTTAGAAAGGGAAGCCAAACAGGCAGCTACTGCAGGCAGAAAATTATTCTGTCTCCTCAGTGGACAAATGGTTTATAGAACTATGAAGAATGACATCCTATGTCCTTTTTAAAATGTGTTTGTTTTTTGTGTGGGGGTGAGTTAGTTTTTATTTTGGTAATAGATTTTGTGGTTTTATATTCTTATTTTGTTCTGTGAACTGCCCTGAGACCTCTGGGTATAGGGCAGTATATAAATTTGAATAATAATAATACTAATGATGGTGGATTCAAAGATTCCCGAAGGCTTGTGCACGAAAATTTCTGAAACCGCTCCTGACTGTGGGTTCTTCATCCCACTTCCAGGAGTAGCTTCTCATAAGAGGAATTCTGAAGTACTAAGATCTGCATGCAGGTTTTGTGCGTAGCCCTTTGGATCTCACCTAACATGGTTAATGTTTGTTAAATATTAATGACTTTATATAAGTTACTCTGTAAACATATCTGCATTAGAGGTCTCCTGTTTATTTGCTTTCCCTGGGCTACAGTTCTTTCCCCCACCCGTACAAAATAAAGGACAGCATTCAGGACATTAGGGAACTCTTACTAATAATAGTAGTTATTTATAATAATAATAGTAATAATAGTAGGTTTCATAAACAGGAAAAACCAATAAACTTAAAAGTCTATTTTTAAATAACAGCTAAGCAAGTTATGGGAAGAGGGAGAACACCAGTTTTTCCAGATATCCCACTTATGAATCCAGAAGTTCAATTCTCCATAAGAAATATGTGAATCCGGTGGCCATCTCACTATATACTATAAAGTGGAACCTTTCTGAAGATCAGTCACACTCCTACTATATACTTCAATAATGGGATGGTTTTTTGAGTTTTATCTCTAGGTGATTTGCAGCAAACTAACAACAAAGTTTTATTCCCACTTGTTTAGTGATAGCAACACCCTTCCTAGCCCTTTCCACCTAAGGCTGCTGAGATGAAGGTATATAACTAGAAGTGGACTTTGGGTTATGAAAGGCCTGTCTGCTCCCTTCAATTCTGGTACAGAAAACTAATTCCAAAGCTCTGGATGTGTTCAGAGGCATACTTTCCTTTAATTCATCTGTATGTCATTTACATCTGGTTCTCATTGTTAGACCTCAGAGTTTTAGTAAAGTCTGCTCACCCTGATTTACATTACCAATGGCATCTTTAACAAAGAAATTTTGAAATGAAATTGATGGTATCTAAATTTCAGGTGTGCTACTGTAACTTTTCACCAAAGCTTTAAGGTTTTCCATTAATTTTGAATCGAAAGCTTAGAATCTTAAACATTAAGAACTCTGAAATAAGGAGGAAAAAACCATGCACATACCTGCTTTAGATTTTGATTTGTTCTTCAGAATCATCTGTCGATCTTTAGGAGCATTATCACCCCCTGCATTCAATCTACGGTTGGTTCTGAGAGAAGCAGAAATAGGTGCCTCAAGTGCATCAACTCTTCTACCTCTTCTGCTTATTTTCTCATTGGCTATAGCTAGCTTTCCAACATCTACATTTTGTTTTTCCTGAAAATCTTCCTTTTCAGGAAGGTTGTGCTTTCTTTTGACAGACATGGAAGGTGTCACTATTTTAATTTTGTTTCTTCTGCCACATTTTTCAAGTTTCCCTTTTCCAGTTGCATCATTTTCACTGGCAGTTTCACCTTTGTCTGGAGGTGGTGGTGTTAGAGTGATGCTTACTTTGAGAGAAGGGTGTACCCGTGATGGAGTAGTTCTTTTTACTCTCTTCCCCTTTGATTGGTTTTGGAAAACTGAACTACTTTCCAAAGACATCTTCTTATCTTTTACAAAAGAGACCTTTCTGTTGCCACTTACTGGTTGGCCATTACTTTCTGTTGAGATTTCAGAAGGAACCGATTGCTTTCTTCTACCTCTTTTGGAAACATTATCTATTGTCACACCTTTTAAAACTTCTGGCATGTCTTCTTGATTCCCAGTATCAAGCAATATGGGCTTTTTACTTGCAGAAACTGAGCTTGCTGCAATTGCCTCATCTGTTTTTCTTCTTCTGCCTCTACGTGGCAGATTCTCACTTGCAACAGTTGCAATTTCCAAAGCCTCACTTGGCTGTTCCACAGCACCTTTGCTTTTGGTTGATGGCAATGGTAAAATGTTACTTTTGAGGGGAGAAAGAGCTGTTACAGGGGCAGTCTTTCTTCCTCTACCCCTTTTTAGCTGATTCTCTTTTACAGTGACAAGCATATTTTGGTCTTCTGTATCACCTGCCTGATAACTGTCACATTCAGTGAGTATTTCAGGAGAAATGGTTTGTTTGTTTCTACCTCTCCTGAGTGGGTTTCCTTTTGCTATCTTCTGTCTTTTTGGTGGACTGTGCTCTAATAGAGGTTGCTCACTTTCCAAGGGCATCTTAGGCATTTCATCAAGATTCTTTTCATTTTGAATATCTTGCAAAGAACATTTTCCTTGGGTAGAACTAAAGCTGTCCACTGTTGGGCTCTCCTTTTTAAGAGCAACATTTTCCAAAAGAGGTGGTATCTGGCATTCAGGAGCAGCTCTTCTCCCCCTGCCCCTTTTTGGCTGATTCTCTTTTACAGTGACAAGCATATTTTGGTCTTCTGTATCAGCTGCCTGTTCACTGTCACATTCTGTGGGTATTTTAGGAGAAATTGTTTGTTTGCTTCTACCTCTCCTGGGTGGGTTTCCTTTTGCTATCTTCTGTCTTTTTGGTGGGCTGTGTTCTAAAAGAGGTTGCTCACTTTCCAAGGGCATCTTAGTCATTTCACCAAGATCCTCTTCAGTATGAATTTCTTGCAAAGAACATTTTCCTTGAGCAGAACTAAAGCTGTCTACTGTTGCACCCTCATATGCAGGAGTAAGGTTTCCTAGAGGCAATGTCATATGAGATACAGGAACAGCTCTTCTTCTGCCCCTTTTCAGCTGATTATCTTTTATGGTGACAACCATGGCTTGGTCTTTTCTATCAGCCGTCTGTTTACTTTCACATTCTACGGATGTTTCCTGAGAAATATCTTGCTTGGTTTTCCCTCTCTTGGGCAGCATCCTCTTTGCTACTTTTTGCTTCCTTGCTGGACAATACTTTGCAGGAGCCTGCAAACCTTCCAAAGGCACCTCCTCAGTTTCATTAGGTTTCTCTTCTTTTTGAATTTCATCTAAAGAACACTTTCCTTGCGCAGAACTAATGCTGTTCGCTGTTGGGCCCTCATATGTAAGTGGAATGTCTTCCAGAGGCAATGTCACTGAACATACAGGAGCAGCTCTTCTCCCCCTGCCCCTTTTTGGCTGATTCTCTTTTACAGTGACAGGCATATTTTGCTCTTCTGTATCAGCTGCCTGTTTACTGTCACATTCAGTGAGTGTTTCAGGAGAGATGGTATGTTTGCTTCTACCTCTCCTGGGTGGGTTTCCTTTTGCTATCTTCTGTCTTTTTGGTGGGCTGTGCTCTAAAAGAGGTTGCTCACTTTCCAAGGGCATCTTAGGCATTTCATCAAGATTCTCTTTAGTCTGAGTTTCTTGCAAAGAACATTTTCCTTGGGTAGAACTAAAGCTGTCCACTGTTGGACTCTCTTTTGTAAGAGCAACGTTTTCCAAAAGAGGTGGTATCTGGCATTCAGGAACAGCTCTTCTTCCCCTGCCCCTTTTTGGTCGATTCTCTTTTACAGTGACAGGCATATTTTGGTCTTCTGTATCAGCTGCCTGTTTACTGTCACATCCTATAGTTTTTTCCTGGGAAATGGCTCGCTTGACTCTTCCTCTCCTGGGTGCTACTGTCTGCCTTCTTGGTGGACTATGCTCCTCAGGAGTTTGCACACTTTCCAATGGCACCTTTTGCGCTTCATCAGGATTCTCTTCATTTTGAATTTCCTGCATGCCTGGCTGTGACGCAATGGAAGCACTCTTTTGTTCTTCATAAGCACCATCCTTATCTCCAAGCATATGTTTTTCCTCAAGTGGTACAGAATTATCACATAGATGAACTTTCCTCCCTTTCCTTCTCCTAACATTATTTTCTTTAACTTCTATTGCAGTCTTTTCCAAAACCTGTGTTTTAGGTGTTGTGTGTCCTAGACTTTCCTTTTTAGCCTCATTAACATCTGTGTTTGTTGTAAACAATTCTGCTTGTATTGAAGCAGCCTTTCCTCTTCTATTTCTTTTAAGTATGACATTTCCAGCGCTTTCCACTCCTGAAGTTTCAAAATCTTGGTTTTTTATTTTGTCTTGTATCTCTGCATTTTCTTCTAAATCTAAACTTGCTTCAGTTTGTCGAGCTGCCATTTCCCCCTCAGTTTCAACTGCTGATGTGTTGCTTTCAGATTCTTGCTTTAGATTTATTTCAGTGATGTTCTGGTCAAAGTTTTCATTAGCTTGCACACAATTGACTGATTCTGCTCTCTGGGTGCTGCTTGTATGCCTCTGTGTATTTTTTGCATCATGTTCTTTTACAGATCTGGATTTATCAGCTCTTCTAGTTCTTCTAGCTGAAGCCAATGGTCCAACGATTTCTATATCTACTGCCCCAGAATTTGCAACTGGTTCTTTCACAAAATCAATTTTGTGCCCATTTTCAGAGTCCATTTCCTTTAGCTGATGGCTTTCTGAAACACGCATTATTTCAACAGGTTCTATCACTGCTTCTGATTTTAATTCAATAAATGTGTTACATGCAACGTGTCCCAAGTTATCTTCTAATTCTGAAATATTTTTACTGTTGTCCTTTGGTTTTGGCAAAGGAGATATTCTTTTAGGTGATGATTCCAGTTTTGCTTCTTTATTTTCATAGTCATTTCTCATGGACTCTTAAAAAAGAAAAGTACATTCAATGTTATTTCTCAGGATATGGTGATTGTGAAGAGTAGTAAACACACTTACTAGCCAAAAAGTCCCAGAGGAAGTACTAGGTAAAGGTAAAGGTACCCCTGCCCGTACGGGCCAGTCTTGACAGACTCTAGGGTTGTGCGCCCATCTCACTCTAGAGGCCGGGGGCCAGCGCTGTCCGGAGACACTTCCGGGTCACGTGGCCAGCGTGACAAAGCTGCATCTGGCGAGCCAGCGCAGCACACGGAAATGCCGTTTACCTTCCCGCTAGTAAGCGGTCCCTATTTATCTACTTGCATCCGGGGGTGCTTTCGAACTGCTAGGTTGGCAGGCGCTGGGACCGAGCAACGGGAGCGCACCCCGCCGCGGGGATTCGAACTGCTGACCTTTCGATCGGCAAGCCCTAGGCACTGAGGCTTTTACCCACAGCGCCACCCGCATCCCTAGGAAGTACTACATTGCTTCATAAATTTGCTTTTATATTTTGCCATGTGATATTTATATCTTGTGCTATTAATCATTCTTAACTTTAACAATACGCCACTATTTGCAGATGCCACTTTACAGTGCTTTCCCAAACCTTCATATTCCAGAATCTCCAAAATAAAATTATTCAAGTTTTGTTGTAATTATAAAGAACGCTTCAAGATGAATAAAATGTAACCAAGTTAAGCACTTCTTAGCTGCATATAGCCTTAGAAATACTAAGTTACATTTAGAACGGGCTCACGATTTGACCTAAACATTACTTAGTGATGGGTTCTTGTAGTCGTATGCTGGAATTCAAATCCAATGTATGCCGTTAGATAAGCCCTGGCTTGTTTGTTCAAAAGAACCTTTTGCACAGAGCTCCCACACTTACAACCTCATGTGCATTATCTATACACTCAAGAATCAATGTGTAAAAATCATGCAAGCCAGCTGCATCCATTACCCTTTCAGATATACTAAAAAAGGTGAAGGTGAAGGACCCCTGACAGTTAAGTCTAGTCGCAAACGACTCTGGGGTTGCAGCGCTCATCTTGCTTTACTGGCAGAGGGAGCTGACGTTTGTCCGCAGACAGTTTTTCTGGGTCATGTAGCCAGCATGAGTTAGCCGCTTCTGGCGAAACCAGAGCAGTGCACAGAAACGCCGTTTACCTTCCCGCCAGAACGGTACCTGTTTATCTACTTGCACTTTTACGTGCTTTCGAACTGCTAGGTTGGCAGGAGCTGGGATGGAGCAACAGGAGCTCACCCCGTCACAGGGATTCAAACCGCCGACCTTTTGATTGGCAAGCCCAAGTCTCAGTGGTTTAGACCACAGCACCACCTGTGTCCCATTCAGATATACTGCATGCATCAAATAGGAACACCAGTAAAATAAGGATCCCTTTTTCAATCATCAGTCGTTTTCCTACTGCCATTGTGTACTTTAGGACATAAGGTGCACATAAAGCGGTACAACGGCAACAAATTTTGATGCCCACACATTAAAAAAAATAATCTCTAACTGCTATGCAAAGGCAGACAACATGCACAACTGTTAGCCATCTGTGTATTTGAAAGAGCACCCCAAAAGCCTTGCAACTTTACTGTAATTACTTAATTCAGTCATTTTCAACCAGTGTGCTGTGGCACCCTGGGGGAGTCTTGAATGATGGTCAGGGGTGCTGTGGGCAACACTGGCCTCTGCCCCTCTTTCCTTGCCTCCCTCCTCTGATGCCCTTGCATCTCTGCCTCTCAAAGGTTGCACAGGGAGAATGTTTGAAAAAGGGTGAGGGGCTGCCAGTTCTGCAGGCAAGGGGTGCCATAACTGGGCTCTTGAGCCCCACACAGGTGCTGCAGAATGTAATTGGTCAAGGGAGCCATGGACCCCAAAAGGCTGAAACCTTCTGACTTAATTTCATTCTAGTTGTTCTGAAATAAAACCATATTTTAAAGCAGATAAATGTAAACCTGCTACTACCTTTTTTGAAAATAAAAGGTTTTGTTGAAATAATATTTACACACACCAAGCTCACCTCTGGAACTCATACAAGATCCATTATCTTCTTTCATTAGATTCACAAACTCTGGCAATTCAGCCTAGAAAAAAATACATAATTATTACAATAGCTGGCATGAAAAGATGCTGGGCCTATAAGCAGTGTTATACAATATTTATAAAAGTCCAAGCTGAACTGACGTGTGTGTGTGTGGAACTGTGTGTTAAGTTCATTGAAGATGCAGGTACTCTTCGTAATATGGCTGATTTAGTGCTTTGTAAAATATGTATGGCAGTCCTGACCATTTCACAAGAGGCTTCATAATACTTACTGAAGATACTAAATATCGAAATACAAAAAGATATAATGAAAGAGATGAAAAATAAATAGCAATGCTGCTATAATAAAATCATGAGTGCATCCACTTTGCATCACAAGTGTACCAATGTCATTAAACACAATGTACAAGTGATCCAAAGATGAAACACTTTGAAGTAAAAGCAGTAGTGATAAAGATATTATGTCCCACCTTTTCTCCCTACAAAAAAAACTATTTCATATATATTCAAAACCAGTGATTTTAAATGGCAAGATCTGTGCCAAAAAATCCAAAAAGATTCTAATTAGTACTCAGGGAAGATTAGCCTCAGAGTTGGGAGTAAGGTTGGTTCATCAAAATCAGGTGTTGCTTGTGCAACCCCACAGGTCACATATTTCCTCCTGGTAAAAAACACAAAGTAAGCACATGTGCATACACTTTGCTTTTCCAGGAGATCAGGGCTTGCTGGAACAAGTTAGTCATTCTCTACTCAAAATGCTTGATTACACATTCCAACCCAATCGGCATTTAGAGAAATGGCAGAACTGCATGTCATATAAATATGTCACAGAATCTTGCTGTGCAAGAAAAAATTGGGTCATGTTAATGATTTCTTTTATTGAAATAATTAGTGCAATTTAAGTATATGTCTTTTCTCAGATATTTAATATAGAAGACCTACCTTCTGTCCATCTGCAGCTTCCAACATTTCCTTAACACCTGTATAATCAACTTCAGGACTTGGAAAGCTTTGTTTAGGTTCGGTCATAAACTTCTGCAGTCCCAAGTAGTCATCAACTGGCAAAAACTTCTGCTTTGGTGTCTTCAGTAATCGACTAATGCCAACCATATCATCCATGGGTTCAAATCTTTGTTTAGGTGTTCTCAATAGCCTATGAATCCCTCCCATATCTTCCACTGCTTCCACTTTTTCCTTAGGTGCCTTGATAACATGATTAATAATGAATTTGGAGCAGACAGTGTCATCTGCAATAGACTGCAGGCTTTCTTTGGGTGTCCTCAAGAGTCTCTTGACTCCTGAAAGTGCATCAACTGGCTCTGGTTTTTGTTTGGGTGTTCTCAAGACCCTCTTAACTCCTGAAAGCGCATCAACTGGCTCTGGTTTTTGTTTGGGTGTTCTCAAGACCCTCTTCACGCCTGAAAGAGCATCAACTGGCTCTGGTTTTTGCTTCGGTGTCCTCAAGAGCCTCTTGACCCCTGAAAATGCTTCAACAGGCTCTAATTTTTGTTCTGGACCTTTTCTTTTATCTTCCATCACTCCCTGTATAGTAGCTTCATTTGCTGCTGTGACCAGTGACATATTTTTCCCTACATCTTTTTCTACTGAAGAATTCATTACTTTTGGAGTTGTAGTTAGGTCATCTTGCTCAAGACCAGAGATTTGTGACACTTCCTTCAAGAAGGGGGATATGACATCTTGGTTGTAAAGTTTTTGTTGGCTTGCTGCGCTGAAAGGTGATACAGACATCTCTCCTATTAAAAGATATAAAAATGAACTGTAAAAGGAGTTTTTGATTACATAAATTACTGTTCTTCCTAGTGGAAACAAGGGACACGTGTCAACTCTGTGCCACCTGATAAGGCAGAATTCTTTAATAAATGATGTTCTGCAGGAAAGGGGATGGTGCATGTGTAATATCCCAAGACGGATAGTTAGCAGGACTAGGAATAAGAGGTACACTTTGTCATGTGACCAAGGTATTTGAGAGCAGAGGCAGTAAAGAAGTCTAGAAATGTTGTGAAATGCTGAAAAGCCACAGAATCATTTAGCATGCTGAATCACTGTGACTCATCATGAGGATGACTCATTCTCTGTACAGTGGTACCTCGGGTTAAGTACTTAATTCATTCCGGTGGTCCATTCTTAACCTGAAGCACCACTTTAGCTAATGGGGCCTCCTGCTGCCGCGCCGCCGGAGCACGATTTCTGTTCTCATCCTGAAGCAAAGTTCTTAACCTGAGGTACTATTTCTGGGTTAGCGGAGTCTGTAACCTGAAGCGTATGTAACCTGAGCTACCACTGTATAAGTAGGCAGGCAGACTCAGTCTGTGTCTGTCTGTGTGTGTGTGTCTCTCTCTCTCTGTGGTGGAGCCTGTGCTCTGTGAAGCCTGTGCTCAATGGAAACTGTGTATGCTCTGAAGCTAGTTTAATCTTCTGTTCACTATGCTTTTATTTGCAAACAAGTTTATTTTAACTCAGTAAAGCTTTTATTCTTTTACTGAAGAAGACTGTGTTATTAATTTACGCTGCGCGACACACTTATGCCTACTACGAACAGTCCTGAACTGGCCAACACCTCCTGCTGCAAGAAGAAATCTGCCATGCCACAACTATTGAACTGTTACTACTATCAGTGTGAGCACATGTCCTATAAGTAACAACTCCTGGATGTACTCTTTTGCTCCATTTTTCATTTGTCTAAGGGAAACTTTGAAATTGCATGCACTTTGCCTCTGATGGGGGACAGAAAATAGTACAAATATTTCTAACATCTGGGAAAGCCAGAACAAGACCCTCCTATGAGCCCCTTTATATCCTTGTGTTACACTGATGACATAGAAAAAAACCTCTCCTGTGGTGCTCAGAATGTGTACATTCCTGCAACAACAGCATGCTTGGTCATCCCCAAGTTTTCCAGTTTTCTGCCACCAGCTGAGAAATACTTCCCTTTCAGAAACTTCTTTCCAGATACATGGGAATTTTTTGTTTTAATCTTGGCTCTTTCTAGTGTTAAGTTTATATTTTAGTAGTTGCATTTTTATGACTTTTTCCGTATTCACACATTGCATTAATTTCATTTATTGTAACTGTAGTTCTCTATTTTTTGCTCTGCTTCAAAAAAGCAGAATTTTGATCTTAAAGCAAGAATAAACTAATGCTTCTTTAAAGCTAGCAGTGAAATTTCTTTCCAACAAGCTTCTTGAGCTTGCCAGCAGTTCAGATGCCCACGACAGGGTGAACTCCCATTGCTCTGTCCCAGCTCCTGCCAACCTAGCAGTTCAAAAGCATATGAGTGCAAGTAAACAGGTACGGCTTCTGTCACAGTGTTCCGTTGCACCAGAAGCGGTTTGGTCATGCTGGCCACATGACCCAGAAAGCTGTCTGTGGACAAACTCTGGCTCCCTTGGCCTGAAGCGAGATGAGCGCTACACTCCATAGTTGTCTTTGACTGGACTTAACCCCAGGGGTCCTTTAGCTTTCTCATAGAATATTTTTCTAAGATGAATTATAACTCTGAGAGAATTACAGAGAATTATAAAAACCTAACTGAGAATTTGCCAAACTTCATGTGTAGATACGTTTGCTTGGACCCCTACACACAGTCAGGGAATCTTGGGACTTTTTCCTCTTCCAAATGCAAAAAACCACTAAGTTACCAGACTGGAGAAAAGCTTTAAAACTACTGGTGATCTCCAACTAAGTAATTCACAGGCTAGATCCACTGAAATCTGCTTATACACAAGTCCACTGATTTCACTGGGTCTGCTCTGTGTATTACTTAGATGGATATCACCCACTATTTCCTACAACTTACATAATTTTCACATGAGGTGAGGTGATTTTTTTTTGGGGGGGGGGGATCAAGTCGCCATGTAATAGTTAGCACTAGGGATATATACAAAACATGCATACCAGACTCCTCTGGAGTGTGCATTTCTGAGACGACTTCTGGTGTTGGTATAGTAGTCTTTTGAGCAGAAGAGGGTAAACCTGTCAGTGGAGTGTTGAATATCTCAGCCAACCCTGCAAACAGTATTTAAAGTTCAGTAAAGAAATAATCATTTAGTTTGTTTGCAATTGGAAGCAAGGGAAAACATAACTATTAAGAATTCATTCTCTTTGCTTGACTGCTCCCCAGAAGAACAGTCTTATATACAGTGCAATCCCAGACTACAACATCACACAAGATTTTCAAACATTAATGTTCATGGCAGTTTACAGCCACATGGTAGTTTATCACCCATTAGTCTGAACAAACTGTGATAGCTGTTGATGATGTATCAATTCCTCTTCCCGCTAATGATTTATTACATGCTACCTTTACAGATGGGGACGCAGGTGGCGCTGTGGGTTAAACCACAGAGCCTAGGACTTGCCGATCGGAAGGTTGGTGGTTCGAATCCCCGTGACGGGGTGAGCTCCCATTGCTCGGTCCCTGCTCCTGCCAACCTAGCAGTTCAAAAGCATATCAAAGTGCAAGTAGATAAATAGGCACTGCTGTGGCGGGAAGGTAAACGGCGTTTCCGTGCGCTGCTCTGGTTCGCCAGAAGCGGCTTAGTCATGCTGGCCACATGACCCGGAAGCTGTACGCCGGCTCCCTCTGCCAATAAAGTGAGATGAGCTCTGGACCTAATGGTCAGGGGCCCCTTTACCTAATGCAAGAGAAGGTACCCATGCTGAAAGATGGCAGCAGGAACACAAAAAGCCCTACCAATGTTGCTGGAGCACATGCCTTGGAAGCAGAGCATTAACCCTTTCAATAAGGGCTCATTTTCTCCAGGGAAGCAGAAATGAACAGATACTAATGGTCAGGGGTCGCTTTACCTTTACCGATTAGTAGGCAAAGAAAGAAAGATGCCATGAAGACATTTTCAACTTTAAATTATACTAGTATTCTATAAATCTATATTGCATGGTTCAATAAACCCACATACATTCTTGCAATAGGGAAGCGAGCACCTATGCTTCCATGTAAAATCCTGATTTCCTTCCCAGTCTCCAAGAAGTAATATTCTTTCACTCTGGCAAGCTGTGCTTCCGTAAAAAAACGCAGCAACTGTCAACAAAAATCAGGCAGGAACAGAGGAACTACACCTCTTTTCTTCTCTATATTGAAGTATAGAAAATTTAAAAATATAATGAAGAGGGAAGGTTCGGACCTGATCCCTGCATCAAGTCTTGATTCGGCCCAGTGCTAGCCAATGAAAGCTTGGGATCCATCAGTTCTGGGCTATCTCAGCCCTACCCCTTGGAACACCCTATTTGTGGCTTTCTGCTGGGAGGGGGTTCTCTGACTGGCTCAGCATGAAGAGTAGGGCAGCGGGACACCTGTGCTCAATTCAAACCCCCAGTATTATATATTTTGAAACACTTGGGGAAAAGGCATTATTAGGGCTCTGCATATATGCTGCTACACTACAAGCACTGAGTTCAGTTAAGAACAGTCTCCTTTCTAAATTTTTAGCTACTTAAGATGATGAGATACTTTAAAGTCTTAGCCTGATAAGATCTCACTAGCTAGTTCGAATGATTTCTAACAACTAGAAATGGACCTTCAGTACCCAGCATACCCATTTCCCCGTTGCTGAGAATAGTAAAACAGAATTAAGCAAATCTAATCTAAATTAATTAATGATTTTTTTTTAAAAAAACCCATCATTGTGGGGTGCGAGAGGGCGGAATTAAAAGACTAGTTCATAATTAAGACTAATATGAGTTTGGGAAATTACTAAATTCACATGCTTCCAGATTAAACAGGTAAATCGGGATTTTAGCAAAAGAGCAACTTTCATTCGGGGGCATTTTAAACCAGTATTAGTATGATGAAATGACTGCGTATTTTTGGACCATTATATGATGGTATCACTACTGTATTACACTTGGTTTAGATATTGACCTACCTTTAAAATAATATTACAGTGCCATCTGTTGGCAAAACTGAGAGTTGGTAAATTGGCATGGATAAAAATCTTACTATAGTCAAGAATGGGTAAGTTGCCAATGTTAAAAACCACTTAGTACCTTATATTCATCACTTTCCTGTATGCATGTTCGCAATATAATTTTCTGGCAATTAGGGATTGATAAGACTGAACAGCTTTTATTTCTTAAAGTTTTACTGTACACCTAATGCTGTACTACAAACACACACTATAGGTTTTACATACAATTTAAAAAATGCTAGCTATTAAATCTGCCCAGATTTGCATATAAAAATAGTTAAATGCAAGCTGAAAGCTTATTTTGATCATGGGATGACTGTTTCTGACTAACAGATGTGCTGTGTGAGGAAAAGCAACTAACTCCTAATCTGTTGTCACTTCCTCATGCCTGGGAGCAGAATGAACCAGAGCTAGAACTAGGATAATCTGGATGTGCCTAAGGATACTCAATTGGGAGCTTTGATCTTAGCAAAGGCCCAAAAGGGTTTTGCAAGATTATTCTCTCAGACTGCTCCCCCTGCTCCTTGCAGGTTGTGCATTCCTACAGCTCTGAGCGTCTTGCTGGGTTCAATATCACCTAGGGTTAGTCCAGTCCTAACCTTACACTTTTAGAGGACTGGGAGCATATCAGAGTAGCATGCTGCAGTGAAACAAGAAGGCTATTGCCATCATGCCCTGCTTGTGGGCTTCCCATAGTGATCCGGTTGGCTACTCCGGGAAACAGTATGTTGGCCCAGAAAGCCTTTGGGTTAGCTCCAGCAGGTCTTCTTAAAAAGTTAACAAAACAGCACCAATCTATTTTATCCTTCCATTCACAGTTCTGTGGATCAAAGCCATAAGAAAGTCTTATAGCAAGTGCCATCTTAGGATGTGAACTTCCTCAGGGGATAGGATAAATATATCTTAAGATGGCACTAGCAGCCAATGGTTTTTTACGAAATATACTTGGAACTTTGTGACATAAATGCACTTTCTCCATTACTACAGCTTTATCCTTGCAAAAACATAGATATGTTGAGATATATTGACTAGTTGAAGGGCACCAAGTAAGATTCATGGATGAGCAGAGATTTAAACATAGGTCTTTCTGGCCCGTCACTGACTTAAACAGAATGCTACTTTGTACAAACTAGGTTTGATTTTGTTAGAACAGCATGTGTTTGTTTCAGACAGTAAACCAATTTCTTTATATGACCAATCCAACCATTTTCCATGGGATGCAAGTGAACTCCTTATAGGCTTGCAAAATATTTGGTACTGTACAAGGAAAAAAAATCATTTCACCAAAACACTAACAATTTACCTGTAAAACTTTCATTTAAGTCATCATGTTTCTTCAAAGGATAGTTGATCATCACTTTAGGGACTTGTACAGCAGCATTCACAATACTGGTATGAGCTTTTCCAATCACAATTGGAGCAGGGGAATTTGCATGGCCTGTAGTAAAGTGACCCTTGACTTTTCTTATTGGCGTTTTTAGCATGGAAACATTGTTCTGAAAACAAAATATACAATTAAACCTTTGAGTCTGATCACTGAGGCTCAGAGTGCATGTAAGTCCTGGTGCTCGCAGCTCAATTACCATTTACTTCAAAGTCGGATACAATTCTGAATGTCAAGTCCAGCATGCACAATAAATCCAAGCAAAAAAAAGCAGACAGAGCTTTCATCCATTTTTCCTTCTTGAAACATTTTGCTGCTTGGCAGCAGCAGAAACTACAAACATAGAGCTCACATCTGGCCAGTCACATCTTGCCTCCCCAACAACATACTAAAAATTCTCAGTGCATTGTTGCACTGTTGCTTAGGGTGGCTTTTGCCAATTCTAAGTCATTTCCATCCTTTTACTTAAGTAGTACTGAGAAAAGACTGCAAAAATAGCATAGGAAATCCAATTTTGCATATATTATTTGATAAAGTCCATTTATGTATGTATTTAATATAGAGGTATTTGAGAATAAGAGAATAATAGTACAGAATGGCATTCAAACTGCTTAACATCCTGTAAGGCTACAAGAGTATTACACCCATATTACAGATTAGATGCTTGACAGTGTATGGCTGATCCAATGATTTCGTGGCTGAACTAAAGTTTGAACTGAAACCTTCCTGGTTCATTACATGCTGTTAACTAACTACAATACATTAAGCAGCATGAATTCTAAAGGACTTAATTGTAATTGTAGTAGTTTGAATATAGAAAACTCACTTTATTCCTAAAGTAATCAAATAGTAATTCATAGTTTGAAATATTATAATACAAGAGGAAAGCTGTGTGAAAGGCACTTGAAAACTTTTCACTTGTGGCTACATTTCCTCTCCACATATGTATCTTCTGGCTCTTTCTCTCATTGCAAAAAGCTAATATTACGTTGGAAATGCTTTAGAAGTGTCTACCCATTTACTTTCAGGATATGGGTACTTGGTAATTGTTTGACAACAAACAGTAAGATGTAGTCCTGTTTCTCATGCGGAGATCTGCTTTGCATGTGCGCAGACAATGTTGGCTAGAAGCCATTGTTCTTACAGATCATTCAGCCTGCTTTACTTAACCTACAAGCTTTTAAGTAGCAAACACAGCTCTTAAAACATTATTTCTTTTTGCTTGTGGCCCAGTGTGTGGGCAAGCCACTTTGGTTTGTGGATAAAACATGGTCTTGCTCCATCTACCAGACATTGCCTGCCTTTCTACTTGCTCTCATCATGCACCTAGAATTCATCTCCATTCATTTTACCATATCCTCTCTCAAAAGAAAATATGATGCATACTCATTAACATTAGCAACATCAACTTACCCATAATTTTCCCAAGCCCAGTTTTAACCTACTTTACAAACTGCTGTGCTTTATATTACTCATATATACTCCAATGTGGTAATTCAGGCTGGTTTCATTATCCAAAAGGCATGCACACCAAGAGAACACATCTCTAAACTCAGAGTAGGGGGAAAGAATCTGATCTGCACATTTGCTCTGGAATTCCATGCAATTATGGGGGGGGGGGAGGTGGAGGACATTTGAAGCTGCCTTATACAAAGCATAACTATTGGTCCATCCATCCCAGTGATGTCTATTCTGACTTGGTGGAATAGATCTCAAGTTGTCTAGAAGTGCCAGGGACTGAAACTGGTACTTCATGCATACAGACCATCTATCAAAAAGCTAAAGACCCTTCCCATCCCTGGTTTCAAAGAATTCCAGACTCTGGCATTTAATGACTGGAAAATGGAATGCTTCAATATATTTACTAAATGCAGGGTATTAGTTTTGATCACTGCTAGAGAATTACCTTTGATGGTTTTGTTGAGTTCTTCTTGGCTGACCTCTTCTTGGCTGATCTTTTAAGACCACATTTTGCAGCACTGCTTACTTGAGATTTTGGAACACCCTGTTTCACTATATCTGCCCAAGACTTTGCAACTGGAATGATAATCGTTCAAGATTGCTAGTTATTTCTATGCTTAAAACACATTTTTAATAAAACCAACATTTTCTAGATTTGTAGATTCATTTGTTCTAATGCATTTTTAAGCCAGGGTTGTCAGCCTGATGCCCATGAAGGCTTTCATTGGTACCTCTGGACATGTGCCAATTCCAAGCTTTATTTTTTTAATTAAAAAACCCACAACTGTCTAGCCCTCCCACAAATAGGGGACAAAATGTGCATGTATCTTCTAAGCCAGTGTTTCTCAAACTTGGTCCCATCATCCCTGATCACTGGTCTTGCTAGCTAGGGATTATGGGAGTTGTAGGCCAACAACAGCTGGGGGCCCAAGTTTGAGCAATTTCTGTGAAATGAAATTGAGTGTGGTGTGACCACCTTGTATATTTTTCCTGGTACTGAGTAATGTCCCATTACAGCATTGGTGTGATCTCCACAATCAGGATTAGTAGGACCTAAATGACTTCCCATGGTTAGCATAAGATTTGAGGGTGGCTCTCTCTCTAATTCTGTGTTAGACCATACTCCTCATTGTAGCCATTTTGTGTTAGGCCACACATCTCTCATAGTAGCTATTTTGTGATGGGCACCCTCACTCTATCAAAATTCAAACTGTGCCCACTGATCTAAAAAGGCTGGTAAACCCTGCAGTCTTTTATAATACTATATGCTGTATCTGATTGTTTTGTGGAACATCAAAAGACACTAAGAAAGCAATAATGACAAACCTATCAAGTTGGCTTTGGAAGCACCACTTTGCCTTTTAGAGTGAATTACACCCATTACTCCACTTCTCCTACACAAAGAACTTCTTGGAGTAGCATTTTTGCTCCTCTTTGTTGAACGAGCAGCTTTGCATTCTTGAACAGTAGGTTCAGATGTCTTAACTTCAGTGAACTCTTCTTCATCTCCGTTCATCTGACTGGAAAGAGCATCCTGTTCTTCTGAAGGTGGGCTGGTAACATGAGAAACTGAAAAGCGACCTCTTCTTTGGGGTGCATCAAAAGAAAAAGTGGCTGGGGGCGAAGCAACCGGAGACCTGCGTGCTGGAGGCGAGGCAACCGGAGACCTGCGTGCTGGAGGCGAGGCAACCGGAGACCTGCGTGCTGCGGGCGAGGCAACTGGAGACTGGCGTGCTGCAGGCGAGGCAACCGGAGACTTGCGTGCTGCGGGCGAGGCAACCAAAGACTTGCGTGCTGCGGGTGAGGCAACCGGAGACCTGCGTGCTGCGGGTGAGGCAACCGGAGACCTGCGTGCTGTGGGTGAGGCAGCATTCTTAGATGAACTAATCTCATGCTGAACCCCTTCAGGGAAACTCTGTAGAGAAAGAAGAGGGATGTTTTAAAAAGTTAATACAAAGAACTTCTAATGAGATATCAAATGTGGCATAGCACATAAGCAGAACTTAAACTGAGGAGACCTGAATTTGGGAATCTAGTGTACCACTTAGGTTTACAACTGTATCATACTGCAGTAGTTGAATGGATAAAATGTTCTCTATGTTGTCCCGAGATCCTTAGAGGAAGTACAGGATAGTATAAATATCCACTTACAGATTTCAGTAGTTGCCCAGGAACTAAGTAGTTGTAACTGGTACTTCATTCAAGTGCATCTCCTTACTATAACATTTGTACAAGCTGGTTTGTTAAGACAAATTATTTTGGACATCTACATTGGCAACCGTGCCCCTATTATCTACAGAAAAGCATGCGAAGTTAGAGCTACATACTTTGACACACAAACTGTTAAGTGCTCCTTTTCAATTAACCTTTCTTTCTTGGGTAAATAGAGATGAGAAACCTTTTGGTGTCCTGCAGGTAGCAGTGGTTTACCAACCCAACCCCCCCTTTGGCACCCATGAAATACCTCAGTAACTATCTCATCAAAAATCCACAATACATAAGAAATAGCTTGCTCTTCTTGCTCAGTTTGTTTGCACTTAGCCAGCTACACCTATGAACATGTCCACATGTCACTGGATGCCAGGATTAAAGTATAAAGAGCTTCTTCCTGGGAGAGAATGCAGTAGTGGTTGGTACATGTGCTCATTTCTTCACTAATGGGGTGGCATGTCTGCATCATTCTATAATTATGTCTCTTTTTCCATACTTTTAGACTTAGCAGCCATTTTATAATAAAAAGCCAACCCGTGGCAGCCATTTTGTGATTAGCAAGAACAGCACTTTCTCCAAATTTAAGGTGTGCTCACTGGTTCAAAGTTTGGCGACTTCTGGCCTAACTCTTATCAGCTCCAGTGAGTAGAGCCAATGGTTAATGATGATGAGAGCTATAATCAGAGAAAAGGAACCTTTTTGGATCCACAGGCCAGTCTAGCAGGCCAAATTTTACAAGTGTGCGGGGCCATCCTCCTGCTGAAATCACAAATGATGTCAAGGGATTTGGTGCTCTGAAACCCCAAATTTAAGACTTCAAAGCACTAGCAGAACGCAAGGCACTGTTAAAAGCAACGTGTTTTTCCACATCATTTCAATAGTTGTTTCTTTGTAAATCCAGTTGCTGAAATGAAAGGAGGGACATGACACCTGAACCAAGTAGGAACATCTTCGCTTTGCATCAGCCACTGGGTTCCTGCTTTGTGCACTGCTTCAAAGGCTCCCAACAACCAGCTGATTGTTGGGTGCTTCGGAAGCGACTCAAGCTTGTTTGGCCAACTGCCTCCCTCACTTGTGGGCCAATGTGGAAGCCTGTCAAGCCAAGATTGGCCTGCAAGCCAGAGGTTCCTCAAACCTGTCCTAGCCCTTCTCCTTAAATGAGAGCTTTCCTCTTTCTTTTTTAAAGGGCACTGTCAAGCCAAAATTAAGAACTTTTATTCAGTGAGAATGGACTGCATTCATTCAAGTAGACATCTTTTAAGCTCATTTCTTTTAAATAAGATAAAACACTTATCTTTGAGAGGCCTTCCTCAAACGAAGCACAGGACAGCACACAACATGATAAAACGAAATACAATCACTACAACTACTAAATAGAAAAACCACAATACAGAACAGTAACATCAAACTACTTGCTCCAACCCACGATGGAGTCATGTTGTCCCTTGCTGCAATTTTATTTATTTTTACTCATAATCCAACTTTTAATAAAAATGCCAGTTCTTAAGAACAAGAGAGTTATTGTACAGCAGGTGAAAACAAGGGAGTGGGGCTAGACCCCACTCATCCCATGGTGGAAACAAGTCTTCCCTTGCTAGCATTTGTCAGGCAGCAAGACCTCTGAGGCAAATGGTCAAGCAACTGCAACTTGCTCAACCCACACTGGAAATAATATTTCCCTGCATTCAAGATCATAAATCTCTAAACCTGTATCAAGGACACTTCATTTACCCTGACAACTCCTGAATTAAGAAATTTTAGGCAGGGATCCTATACCTACTTACTTGTAAGCCCCATTGGAAGGAATGGATAATATCCAATTATATTGTGGCATTAGAACAAATTTACTCTCAAGGGGGCCTTCTTCCCTGCACCCCAGCTCTCATGTGTCCACCAATCCTGCTTCAAAGTGTTTGGACCCTCTGGAGATTTGGTGCGGGGGCGGGGGGCATACAGAGCAACAGGGGAAGGAGTTTTCTTACACAATGTTAGATTTCACCCAATGGGACTTATATCTAAGTATGCATGTACAGGATTGTTAGAAACACACACACACACAGGAAGAATGAGAAGCAGAAGACTTGATCTGGGTGCTTTTGAGGCATTTCAGTACAGAAAATTATTTACCTTGATTCGAGATTGTCTAAATTTCAAAACCGCTCGAGGCGAGTTTCCAAATGGCAAGCTCAGTCGTGCTGGAGTTGCACCTCTTTTAAGTGGTGAGTTTGGAGGTAAGCGTTTATCAAACAGTTCAGGACTCAAGTGCCCACCAAAGGACACCCTCTTTCTCTTTCCAAGAGGCTGACTTAATATGTCAGGTTCTTCATCCTTCCGCTTTTTAGGTGATTTCTTAACTTCTACAAAAGAGCAAAACATACCAAATTCAATATACCAACTTACAAAGCTAATCAGAAGGTTGATTCATTTTAGGTAATTTATCTAAAAGAAAGGCAGAAGAAAGTTATTCTGAATTCCAACATAAATATTTAGCTCCAATCACAAAGGGAGTAAAAGGTAAAAGTAAAGGACCCCCGGACAGTTAAGTCCAGTTGCCTTCAACTATGGGGTACGGTGCTCATCTCCGCTTTCATGCCGAGGGGCCAGCATTTGTCTGCAGACAACTTTTCCAGGTCATGTGGCCAGCATGACTAAGCCGCTTCTGGCGAACCAGAGCAGCACCCGGAAACGCCGTTTACCTTCCCGCCACAGCAGTACTTATTTATCTACTTGCACTTTGATGTGCTTTTGAACTGCTAGGTTGGCAGGAGCTGAGATAGAGCAATGGGAGCTCACCCCATAGCACTGATTCAAACTGCTGACCTCATGATCGGCAAGAGGTTTGGTGGTTTCAGAATGTAAAGGTAGGCTGTTGTTGATTTTTGTTTACTATGTTAAATAAGCAGGATTACTTGGTAGCAGGGATAGACTAATTAATGAAATCTATTGGATTTGTCCAAAAACATGTAAAAAGATAAGTTTTCAAATTGCCTTGATATTGAGGTATTTTGTATGTTTACCTGCAATGACGATGCTTTAGGTGATATGAAATACTTTTAAAGTGTGAAATACTTTAAGCTGACATGGAACTTGCTAATAAGCAACAATAATAAACAAATATTATTATTGGAACCAAATGGAGAATGAGGTATCCTATTCAAACTTGTAGTTGGCTAAAATAAGGAACATCACAGAAACTGATATAATGACCAAGAAGATACAGTTAAGTGATGAAAAATATTTTTCTTCTTCTGTGAATTGGTTACCACATACTGAGTGTCAGTATAATTTGAATATTATTTATTGTTAATTCCTTGTTTTCTGGAGTGATAACTAAAATTTCATCTTTTATGTATTTGCACCAATTCAAGAGAACTGGAGATTTTTTTCTGTGCATACAAAAACCTGTCACAAAAGATTGCAGGTCTTTTGGACCCCCCTGATTAACTTTTAGTCTAGGGCATGGATAGGCAAACTAAGGCCCAGGGGACAGATCCGGCCCAATTGCCTTCTCAATCCAGCCCGTGGATGGTCCGGGAATCAGCATGTTTTTACACGAGTAGAATGTGTCCTATAATTTAAAATACATCTCTGGGTTATTTGTGGGGCCTGCCTGGTGTTTTTACATGAGTAGTATGTGTGCTTTTATTTAAAATGCATCTCTGGGTTATTTGTGGGGCATAGGAATTCGTTCATCCCCCCCCCATATAGTCCGGTCCCCCACAAGGTCTGAAAGACAGTGGACCAGCCCCTGCTGAAAAATTTTGCTGCCCCCTGGTCTAGAGGGTTATTTCGGCCCCAGAAGACTTAACATACTCATAGTTAAAATCTGCAATACTGATTTCATATTTGTATTGCCTAGGGCTTGCCGATTGAAAGGTCGGCGGTTCGAATCCCCGCGGCGGGGTGCGCTCCTGTTGTTCGGTCCCAGTGCCTGCCAACCTAGCAGTTCGAAAGCACTCCCGGGTGCAAGTAGATAAATAGGGACAGCTTACTAGCGGGACGGTAAACGGCGTTTCCGTGTGTGGCTCTGGCTCGCTAGAGCAGCGATGTCACGCTGGCCACGTGACCCGGAAGTGTCTCCGGACAGCGCTGGCCCCCGGCCTCTTGAGTGAGATGGGCACACAACCCTAGAGTCTGTCAAGACTGGCCCGTACGGGCAGGGGTATCTTTACCTTTACCTTATTGGGTTATATTGAAACTCCTTCTACTGCACTCCATTAGAAGACCCCCAACAGAAACTTAGGCATTTGTTTCTGTTTTGCTTTCTCTTTTCTTAACACTGTCAGGTCACATATTCCGAATAGTTTTTGTGTTAAACTCTTTTGGAATGTGATACCAACAGAAACCTATTTTTTCTTTTAAACCATAGTCACTTTGAAGTAAATCATGCCCCCCGCCCCAGTATGCCCTTAAAGAGGTCTCTTGGACCTAAATACAAGACTGATAGTGTCAGAAAATGAGTGTATGATGACACTTCAGTATCAAAATAGTAAGGATACTTTCTGTTAAAGATTTTAAAAACAGAACTAGTAAGAGATAAAAATTGAGAAAAATCTGTTGGGGTTATTTTTAGTGCACTGTACTTCTCTTAATCGTAGTAACCAAATTCCTTTGGCATTCATACAAGTTTTATAAATAGAATAACCAACAGACTTTGAATAAAATTACATAAAGAGAGCAAAATTACAAGTTCAAGAAAAAGTCACAACCAATTTCTGAAACAATCTCATAATGATAGTCTTAGGCTTGTACTGCAAGTATTTACCTGACTTTCTTTTTATAGTAAATGCGCTGGCCGCATTCAGTTCTGAAGCAGTCTCACCCTCTGCTGGCACTGGTACATTATTTTCATGACCTGGTATATAGTGTTTATTATCTAAACTCTGGTTGTGGGCCTTCATCGTTGGTTCTTTTATTTTATCATCCTCCTCCTCCTGGAGCCAGTTTCCCTCTTTTTCAGGTGGCTGGTTAGGTGTGCACATGCAATGTGTTCCAGAAGTATCTACAGGAACTTCTAATGACTCCCCTGAATTGATATTCATCTGCTCTGTAGAAAAACGCCCATTTAAAAAGTCTTCATTTTGCTTAATGCTCCTCCGGGGGCTTTTACTGTTACGACAGCGAAATGAATAGGCAATGATTCCAGAGTTTCTATCTTTTTGTGTGTTGTTCATACAAATCTCATTTGTTGCTTTCAGAGTTTGCATTGGTTCTATGGCCAGCACTTCATTCTTGCCTTTTATTTTAAAAAACTTTTCTGTCGAGGCAACAAAATCAGGCTCCGCTGCACTAACATTCATTGAGCACTCTTCAATTTCAGAAGAGGTTTCTGTGGAATTCTTCAGTTCAATCAATGAATCTACCTGTTGCATTCTAGATTTTGAAGAACGTCTAGATCTTCTAGAACATGGACTAGAATAAGTTTGAAAACTCTCCTTATTAGACTTTGGTATGGACAAAATGCTTTCAACTGATCTGCAAGCATCTGTTAAGTTAGCTTTGATTTCCACACCAGCTGTCTTTGTTGGCTCTTCTTCTGACTTTTCAGGGTGCCCTGCTCTATCTGCAGGTTCCAATGATACTATGGAACATGATTCATGGAAATACTTTGCACTTTGTCTACTTGCTGTTAAATCTGTATCATTACTTGCATTTTTAATCCCTTCAGTTCCATCTAGTTCATTCTCTTCTGCTTTCTTGAAATTGAACTGATTGGTGCCTTCACTTTCTTGCTTCCGTTCTGCAGCATAACCTTGAAGACCCAAAGATGATCTTTTGGATCTGTTCCTTTCAACAGATCTTAGATTTGATATCACACTGTTTATTTCTTGACTTTTAATATAAGGAGAATGTTCAAATTCATTGCAAATTACACCTTCAGTCTTCTTAGTTTGACCAGTTTCAGATATCCTGTGTGGTATCTGAGATGCAGCTTCTTCCAAGGTATCATTACCATCTTTTCTGGCTAAGTGTTCTTCTTTGACTGCAGAAATGTTTCATTGCTAACATCTTTCTCTGCTATTTTTGTATCAGGTTCGTGCTTCACTAATTCGTAAAGTTCACTAAAAGGAGACATTTCGTTTTTCCTTTCTGAACTGAAGGTTTTGTATGTAGATTGGGGTGTGCCATACTGTCCAGTAATAAATTCTTGAATTTTTGTCTTGTCACTTTCATTAGTATTCCGATTTTCCCAGTCAAGTTTCTTTTCTAAGAAGAGATTTTTAAAAGAATACATTTTTAAACAATGTGTTCTTTAAAAGTATTTCTACTTTTGGTATAATGCTTAAGTTAGATGAAACAGTGTTACCAAATTCTACAGTCAGTTAAGGTTCTGATCATAGGGCAAATATATTTTTGAGGAATTAAGAAAAATCAACAACACCTGTTTCTACATAGAAAATAAGATTTAACATAAAAGTCCTCAACATACAGCTCAGACATTCACAAATGCACTCATATGAAGCTACTTTGCAACCGATACTGAGAATAGCATGCCCATAGTGAATGGACTCTTAAAACTTATCCGTGTATGCAATAGACTCTCTCTCTCTCTCTCTCTCTGTGTGTGTGTGTGTGTGTGTGTGTGTGTGTAAAAAAGTACATTGACAAACATCAGCATAATCTGTAATATAAATTTAAGATTTATCTACTTGTGAACTCTAATCATAATCCAGAGCAAACAAAATAAGTGGCTGTCTGAATATCAGTTCCCACTTCTTCTCTTTTGCCATGCTTGGAGCAGCTGGCAATACAACCTGGAGTGGAACTGGCAGGAAATAGAACTGGAAGGGGTTTTTTCAGCCTACAAGGTGTATTCTCTAAAATATTTTGCTTCCTGCTACTGGAGAGATGGTTGGAGACAACCCATATCAATGATCACATTCATTGATAGGAGAAACTAATTCACCAAATCACCAAATCTTGCTTCATCTGTTTCCTCCTACAGCAGAATCCCAGTAAATGCTTTGATTTCAACTACTACGTATCTGTTTATGTAGCTTTACATTTTCTTGCCATTCAGGCCTAACAGTGGTAAATAAGCGAAAATAATTACCAACCAGAAATCTGAGGACTTTTAGATTCTGAATTCCGACAGTGCAACAACTCTTCCTGTTCTTCCTGCAGAATATGAAGAACCTGTAAATTTGTACACAATGTATCAGATCAATGAATGTTTTATTTGTTTTAGAAGTTCACAAAATTGTGCCTATGGAAAGTATTAATTGGTTTATTTTTGAAGTAAATATTTATATGGTATCGAATAATTTAACTGAGTAGATTTCACTAGAACCCACCACCTCTAGCCTAGTTCAATTTATTCTTAAGAAAAAGCTTTAGCTGTTTATTTATCTTCCCCCCTAAACTAGGAGTAACAGCTATCTTGAAAATAATCTATCATCTTTGAATACAGTTGTTCTTGCATAATCATTAAAAAAAAATGATATGAAAATGTGCTGTTAAAAGAATGCTTCCAAAAACATCTATTAAAGCATACATTCTCAGTAATATATTACTTTGGAGAGAAGAGTGCTGGCATTAAAACGTTTCTGTGAATACAGTTGCCATCCACACATAAAAAAGGGAGACCCTACATCTGCAGGTAAAAAACCCACTTAAGGAGATTGGGAATATGGAAACCTATAGCTACACGTTTCATTCAGTTCAGCAAAAATGCAAAGGTGCATTTCATTGTATTCATGAAGTTACCTGTAATGTTTCATTCTCTTGAGACCTGGAACTCCTCTTCCGTGGAAGTAATGAAGGTGGATATTCAAACCTGTTTAAAGGTATTAGGGTAGGCTTAATATTGATTTGTTTATCCCACTGATGAGCTAAATACCCTGGCTGCAAACCAGTTGTTGAAAACTCTTTGGGCTGGATAATGCAAAGAAAGCACCAGCCTTAACAGTCAGAGCCAAACAAGAAGTGTAAGTAGCAACAAATTGAGAAGCAGTCAGGGAGGTGAATAAAGGAGATGAGTTCTGGGATTAGGCTTGGCTATGAGACAGAGTCAGTTTTGGCTGCCTGAGACCTGACCTTTACAAAGAGCAGGACAAGGGGACTGTGACATTGCTCTTGCTTCTTGACTCTTGTGCAGCTTTCAATACCATTTCCCGTAGTATCCTCCTGAACTGACTCAGTGGAATGGACACTGGTATCACTGTGTTACTGGGGTTCCATTCCTGCAGTCCTGAGAACAGCACCGGGAGAGTGCTTTATGAAACTGACAGTTATGTTATGGAGTACCCCTGGGTACAATTCTATCCCCCAGTGCTATTTAAAATCTATACAAAGCCACATGGAGCCTGGACCTGTGCCCGGACACAGTGGTGGGACAGATGAGGGAAAGTAAGCTGAGGTTGAATCCTGCCAAGGTGGAGGCACTATAGGTGTCTGGATCCCATGTGCAATAAACTGATCAATTACTTGCCATGGATGGGGTTGCACTTCACCTGAATTAGCCGGTATGCAATTCGGGGCTGCTTTTGGATCCAGCTTTGTCCATGGAGGCCCAGGTAACCTCAGTAGTTCATGCATTAATGATTTCAAAGCTGAATTACTACAATGCACTGTATGTAAGTAAGCTTCACTTTTACTGACCAGAAACTGCAGTTAATGCAGAATGCTGCAATACAGTTGCTGAAATGATTGGGATTCTGTCAACATATAACACCTCTGCTCAGATATCTACACAGGCTGCCAATTTGTTACCAGGCTAAGTTCATGGTGTCACTATTAGTATACAAACCCATAACAGTTTTGGACCACTTTACCTGTGGCATTATTTTACCCCATATATTCCCTATCAACCACTTCAATCGGCAGAACTGACACAGCACAACGTAATACTCATTCCGCAGTTACAAAACCACAATTTTTTGGTGTTGCAGCACCTACACTCTCTACCTACTAATATATTATAGGAGTCTTGACTATAGTATTTTCAATGCCTGCTTAAAACATGTTTAGGCTAGCCTACGCAGACAAGTTGAATGATGCATTTTAATCTCCCTTTGCTTACTGATGATTTTAATTATCTTTTTGAATGCTTTTAAATACCTGTTTTTAACTGTCTTGTACTGATAATTTTAACGTATTCTTTTTTATAACCACTTAAGAGGCTTTGCTACAATCAAGCAGTATATAAAAGTTGTGAAATACAGGTGGCGACCATTTTGCACGCATCCAATTGATGTGTGGCCTTCCATGCATGCCATTTTCTGATCCAGAAGGGGATGGAATGGCCTTACACACAATATGACTCAAAATGCAACCCCTGCACAAAGGAGTTGCCTGAACATAAAATAAACTCATTAAAAATTCCAATGACTTGACCCAACCTAGGCAACGTGACAAGAGTAATTTTATTTAAGTAGATCCATAGCTGTGTATGGCATTGTTACCTACCTGAAAGAACGATCAATAATAGTGAATACATCTCCATGCTTTAAGTATGTAGGTTGCTGAAAAATATTTCCATTGAGTTCTGTTGGGTTTGCAGGACTTAAGTTAAACAAAGTTGCCTAAAAATAGATTTAAAAATATTCAGCTCAGTCAATTAAGAAAGGTCCAAGAGACACACAACAAATCAATACAAAAAAAAAGAAGAAGAATGCATACCTCCTTATTTTCATTGACTTCGATTTTACAATGTTCTTTGGAAACCTGAGGCAGCTGAATTCTGATGTCACACTCTCTTTTCCTTTAAATATAAACATACAGTTTTCAGATTAACATTTGTATATTACGCAGAGATAAAGGGTTTTTTATATAAAAAATGCCATAATGCTACTATTCAAATATTAGAACAATTATAAAGACAAACTATGTAGTATTATGAAAACTGAACTTATTTTAACTGAAAAAACCACTAATGTTTACTGTTGGCATGCCATAAACCAGAGATGGCTAATCAATTCAGGGTCTAGAGCCACACTGGTCCAGGGTGAACCGTGATATCTGCATGCCAAAGCAAGCATGCCCAAAGTGTAAATGTGTCCATGGCTAGAATTGCAGTTCGCAAGCTGCCTTCAAAAAGCTTTTATATTCTATCAACACTATTTAAAATCCTTTTTTGATAAGCTATTATTATTTATTAAATTCTGTAAAATATAAATATATACATAAGAAAGAATACATTTTATGGATCAGAACAGGGGACCTGTAGAACTGGTTGATGAAGAAATAGTATTTTTTTAAAGGACAAATTGGAAGGTTGCAAAGGGAGAGCACAAAAAACTTCCTGGGGAACTATATATGGCTCACAGGCTATGGGTTGGCTACCTCTGCCATAAACTTTCCTCTGCCTTCATTAAATATGCACTTGGCCACTGATACCTAGTCACGTAGATACTTGGAGAAAAGATACTCTAAACCAGAGCAACACCTGCACCCAATAAAACCCTCCAAAGATATGAAATGATAAACATAGATGTTGCCAATATTGCTTGCTTATGTAAAACAGAAAGGTCGAATAACTAATGGAGTTAGTAAAGTTCAACCTTTCAGAGCAGGTTGTACAATTCAAAAATTTCTCTAAAGTTGAAAAAGAGCTCTCTCTATTGACTTTTATGTACGGTGAACTTGAAGCAGACAATCCCGAGACATTAATTCGAGAACAGCAAAGATGCTTATATCTCCAATAGCAAGTGAATGTTGCTCCTTTCATTTGACCCACTGAAAGCATGCTATTAACCATTTTTGCCCACAAAAATATTATAGCTTCACTTGAGAGTTTCAAAACTGTGAAGAAAAATTAAATTTAAACCCAAAAGTAAAGACAAATTCCTATCTACTAGCTCTCAAAAAGGTCAAATTTACACCAGTGTGCAAACCTAAAATGTGCATATTGATGCAGGGCTTAGGCATCTTGACAATTTAATTGACATCTCAAGTTTTGCTGTTTTAAAGTGCAAGCAGGTACGCACACATCCCCAGAAGGGGCACAAAAAGGGGCAAATAAAGGGGCCCTAAAAGAGCGAAAACAGCAAAAATGGAGTCTAGCCTTTGCAAGTGCAGTCCCAGAAGCCTTTTACGCCTATGGAGAGTTGAGAGTTTAAGAAAGTAGATTTGGAGAGTGATTGTGGAGTTGGGTGGATTTTTGGCTTTTTTTCAAGCGTTTCTAGAAGTTTAACAGGTGTTTGCAGGCTTTTTCAATGGTGCCCCAATATACGTAATTTCACTTAAATATGTGGTGCCTTGGAACGTAACCTCCGTGTAAATGGGAGTTTCCTGTAGCAAAGATTTTACTGTTTCCCTTTGTGAAAAGAACAGATCAGACAATTAAATTCCAACATTCAAAAGCTGTATTTCAAAATACCTTCCAATAAATAAGTCTTACCTTCCAAACAAACAAGAGTTTCTAGTCAGCGGAAAATGAGTTCCATCACTCCCATTCTTTTTAATGACAACAATTTTCCCAAAAAGTGGCATTTTCTCATCTGTAATTCCTACCTGTAAGGATTGAACATTGAGAACTCAATAAAACTTTACCTAATTAGAATATATGATGAGCACCTTTCTATTAAGACAATACACCAAGAGAATTACAATTTTCTTACACTTTTCTTAAACCCAGATTATCATGAAACTGTATGTAAAAGCCCCGTATCAGGTCTATAGCTACAACATATCATGCAAATTACATTATATAATACAGGAGACACATACAAGTGTACTATTTGTACACGTCTACTGTTTTGCTGCTCATTAACACTAGCTCCTAAAAAAAAATTCAAGTCATTTCTCAGTAACATGATCAAAGTCATAGACGTACAAGTAATTTGAACAAGACATCTTTAAAATTAATGAATGTATTATGGCATTAGCTTTCATGGAATACAGTGCACTTCATCAGATGCACAGAGTGAGATCCTCAACTGTCAAAATATTGCACACATGGGTGCTGTTGGGGTGGATGGGTATAATGTAACCAGAAAGGCCAGAAAGAATGCAGGGAAAATAGAGACAGTGAAAATTACATAAATAACAATGATAGTTCACAGAATCAGTTGTGAATAATAGACATCCTGGCATTTGTATGCCAATTAACTTGTATGTTTTGTTAACATTTCATTTAGTACTACAATATGTTTACATAGAGCTGCCCTTGAAGCCAGTTCAGAAGTTCCAATTGGTGCAAAAATGCTCCCACCTCACTATTCAGTAGCAAAACTAGATACAATATTGTGACAGCACTCTTGAAACAGTTGTGCTGGTTACGTGTTTGGCCAATTTAAGGTGCTCACTTTAGTGTATTGTCCTGCATGGCTTGGATACTTAAAAGAGCACCTTTCCCCATTATATGCCAGCCTGTGCTTTGAGATCTGACAGAAAGGTCCTTCTTATAGTTCTATTTAAAACCAAGACTCAAACAACAAGACCGTAAGAAGAGCCTGCTGGATCAGGCCTTCAGGCCTATTGACAACCTAATCTAGCATCTTGTTCTCACAGTGGCCACCCAGATGCCTGTGGGAAACCCACAAACTGGACCTGAGAACAACAGCACCATCCCATTCTGTGGTTTCCAGCATCCTGCTTCTGGAAGGGACTCATGTTATGGCTTCTGTGTTATGGCTCCCCGATTACAGAATTGCCTTCCACTAGAAATACGTTGGTCCTCTTTGCTGGTGTCTTTATGTCATTTACTCTGCTTGGCATTTGGAGGTCAACTGCTCCTACTGTTGCTGAGTTATAAGATGTGTTATATTGCTAGTTTAATGATGGGTGTTCTACCGGTTTTTATTATGAATTGTGTACAGTGCTCAAAATTAACCAGGCACTAGGCATTTCCACCATCTAGAAGTGCATGTCTGGGGATCCTTGGATCTAGACTGTTTTCATACAGTAACACTCCATCCTGTAAAATTCTATTGGTTATATTTTATCTACACAATTGGGAATGAATTTCTGGAAACAAAATGCTTCTCAGACTGCAGCCTGAGCAGGAGCAGTTACCATTAATAAAAAGAAGTTGGAATAAGCCAATATACATGTGGACTTTTCTTCTTCAAGTTCTCAAAGCTCAAGGTTGTCATCTGAACTATCCAGATGTTTAACTGATCGCAGCCCATTGTTTGAAAAATAAGACTTTAGAGCTGTCTTGCAAAAAAATAATAATCTGAATTTCTAACACTGATTGTATACCATCTTAGCAACTTCATTTAAATTAATAAAAAAAGATATTTGCCTTACTTCAGCCCACAAGTGAAAAAAGGAAACTCTTGATATATAGTTTCACATTGCAAGTCTGAATAAAGTGTCCTTATTACAGGATAGCCAGTTTGTCATCATTTACAATGTCCTGGGAGACTGGAATTGCCCCCCAACAGTTTTTTAATATTGTAATTTCTGATGAGATTAAATTTATTCTTCTGCATAGCAACTGGCCTATTTGTAGTATGTATGCAATAATCCACTAACAATGCTCTTAATCATTCTACATATAAAGTTGTTCTAGTCCTCTTAATCAATTCCAATAATTTGTCAGAGAAAGTCTGTCATGTACATGAGCAGTTTAACTTGCATCCATAGGACACTGAAACCACATGTCTCCTCCTCATGTGAATCACTAACTGATTTCCAGGTACTGTACTATGCAGATATATAAATGCATCTATTTTACTGTCTACCCCATACAGTACTGTCAAAGCAATAACGTTTACAATCTGTATACACAATAGAGGAGCTGTACAAATCAGCAACTACACTTTCACACAAACAGTTGTACTTACAATGAGACAGCCTGTTATTGTGTTCATGGTTATATGTGAACAAGCCTACAGGCATTATGTATACATATTTGAATATTGCAGTTGCTGCTGCTTTTTGTGAAACAGCTTCATCTGCAACTATTTTGTTCCATGTTTCCACCTCATGTGATTGGTTTACTAACAAGTACATTTCCTTCAGAAACATTTTCGTTTTAAAAAAACCCCAGAAACTTTAGGGTGGTAACTGTAGATACATTAATGTGTGGTATGGATACCAACATAGTTACAATATTTTTATACAGTACCACAGCAAAGAGGCAGGTTGCACCTTTTTTAAAGTAGAAATACCATGTTCTGTAGAAAGCTCATTTAATTTAAAATGGTCTCAACAGAATTACATGAAGCAAAAAAGTTTCAGCAGAATAAGCAACAAAGACATTGCAAAGTCAGGTATGCTGGGATTGCCAACTCAGTTATGCAATTGTTCCCAAAAGATACAATCAAACAAGGTAAATCAGATGTAGCCAACGAAGTGCCCCCTCTCCAAACTGTTCTACTGTACTACAACTCCTATACCAGACTATGCTGGCTGAGGCTGATGGGAGTTTACGAATATTTATTCTGTACAAAGCCACCCTGCAGCATTTTGCTGGAACTCGATTTTCCGTAAGAGAGATACTCTGTGGATGCAGCGCGCTCCGGAAAGACGAGAAAGGCGCGCATTTCAAACATACCTCGCGACGAGTCTTGTGGAGGTTCCCCACAAAACAGTGGTCTAACGCGAGGGGAAACGACCTATTCGCAGCTCTCACCACCAAGTTAGCCAGGCCTGTGCTGTGAACAGTGCCGGATTTACGTATAAGCTAAACAAGCTATAGCTTAGGGTCCCACTCTTTTAGGGGCCCCCAAAAATATAAAGGAAAAATAACTGGATGTACATTTCCAAACTATAAGATAAAAAAACACAAATGAAATACAACCTATATACAGCAACAGTGGCAAATGGCTTTAGATACCTATTAGGTCCATAAATTACCATGTAGCATATATTCAACACAAAACAACAGCGACAATTTGTTGTTGACAAAGGACAGCTGGACATATAAAGGGCCCCATTATCGTCAGTAGTTTAACGCCTCATCAAACCTAAATCCGGCCTTGGCTGTGAAGGCTCTAAGGGGAAAAACTAAAGGTAAAGGGACCCCTGCCGCCAAATCTCACTGATTCCCCTCAATGACACCCTCATTTCCCCCAACGTCTCTCTCTCTCCTACGAACAGCACAGAGGGGACGCTTTTTAAAAAGAAGAGGCCGTTGGACCAACTCACTTGCTTTGCCGGCGCAACCGCTCGCCCCCAAACAAGCCTTAGCACCGTGGGCAGCGAATGCTCCTTCCCCCATTGCCAACTTTCTCTCCCCCCCCCCCGCAATAAGAGTCTGGGTCGTGCCCCCCCCCCGTTCCCCACACGGGCTGAACGTCCCTTACCTGCGCGCGCGTCCTCCGCCACGAGGATACGCAGGACCCTCTCGCTCTCCCCTTCTCTCCCCCCTAACAGTCCTAACCGAGTAACATACCCGCGTGCGCGCGAGCGCCTAACCCCCCACTTAATTCAAATCCCCGCTCTGACGTCGTCACGCTCGTAACGCCGGCGTAAAACTCTCCTCACTCCAGGTCTGTATCTCTCCGCCACGCAAAACTTTGCCGCCTTTTCTTTTAACTTAGTTGTCCCCTGCCCTGGAAGAACGATAAAATATAAGAATATTCCTTACCCCATCACCACTCCCACGCTGAACTGAGCTTTCTGGGGGGCGGGGGGGGGGAGCGGGCTGTGCGGGGACTACTTCCGAATGGTTTCCGCGGAAGCATAAATATGGCGCAACGTTTTATCAGATTTACTTTTTTAAACGACGCGCGGTGGATTCTGATTGGAGAACGCGAGATGACGTGACCAGGAAAAACGATCCAATGGGGAACCCAGAAGGCCGTTCAATTTTTAACAGACAGTAAGGAGAAGCGCCGGGCGCGTTTAGTTCTTTCGCTTCTCGCGCCCAGCGGCGGAGGCGGGAAAAGGCGGTAACGCCACTTACCTGCGAGTAAGCGCCTCTGAACTTAAGTCTTCTCAGTAGGCGTGGTTATGAGGGTGTCGTCCGTCCTCTGTTCTGAGGTGCTGCTTAAAAATAGCACAACAGGGTGGATATAATGATAACTTTTGAGTGCTTATGAAGCAGCTGAAGAACTTCCAAGCACAATGATTGAATTTTAAGAAAAAGAAAGAAAAGAACAGCCGGCTTTGCATTTGCATACGTTATTGTAGTTTAGTGTTTTGTTGGAAGCCGCCCAGAGTGGCTGGGGAAACCCAGCCAGATGGGCGGGGTATAAGTAATAAATTATTATTATTATTCTCCCCCCTACCCTATTTTCTTTTTCTGAAAATGGAAAAACTTGCCAGGTGCAGACACTACCCCTAAATTAATGGAGGATCGGGGGGCGGGTGGCACCCTCATGACTACACAGGACAGGGGTGTGGAAACTTGGAGAAGACCCCTCGGTCCCTAGGAGTTGGATCCTATGATACAGGATCTGGCAATTGCAGTTCCACACAAGTAACTCTCAAGTTCTCCCGTTTAGCATGTCTTTTGTAGGCAGCCCGTCCCAAGCCCATGCAACTGCTAAAGCTTGATTTTCACCATCTCTGAAAAACCCTTTCTCTTATGCAGTCCCACTGTACACCTGCTCTCATCTCCACCCCCATGTCCGTGCCTCCCCCCCCCCCATTTTTTTGTGCAAGATCGCTGCAGTGGTGAACTCCATGGTGAACTCCTTCTGCAGCTTTTCAATCATACGTAAATGACACGTCAGAAACAATTAGCTACTTTTACTTACAAAGAGATACGTCTAAAACATACCTGGTTTATTTCAAAAACATATTTGAAATTTTAGCTCAGAAAGGAGAGTACGTGTAAATACATTCTACATTTATAAAGAAATGTTTTCTACATTTATGCAACCGGGGATGCATGAGAGTCTTCTGAATTTCTAAAGGTAGGAGTTACTCTCGAGCATTATCTTTGGCATTTAACATATAATCCTTCCTGCTACCGTCAAATACCGGTGCTTAATATAATTACAGTATTTTCCTGTGCCTTTGTGTGCTGGTTTGACTTTTTCTTTTCTGTTTTCTTTTTTTTTCTTTTGCAAAGTAGCCTCTTGTTTCCCTGGACAATATATGAATGGGAAGTGAATGGGAAGTTGACTCCTTTGTTACTTAGTTTCAATATTTATCTAGTTTGGGAAGCTCCTTCTGATGCAGTAAGTGAATGTGGTGCTGAAAGAAAAAGTACCGTATTTTATAAATAGCATACTCATAAGCTTTCCCCCAAAATAGAAGGAATGTCCATCTCAAAAGTGTCTTAATGCAAAGATTTTTGTTTCTTAGTTTCTGGTCCAAGGTGTAGGGCCTCTTGAACCTCTACCTTTAGGCTGGTTGTTCTAGTTTCATCACATTTCTGTATTTTTAATATGAGCAGAATCTTATGAGTTAGCTTGTTGAGTTTGAGAAGGTTAAACTCAGTTGACGGATGTTGTGTATATTTTGGGTGTCTGCTTGCTAATAAAATATCTGTTCTAAGTTACTACATCAAATCTGGAACTTCATGAAGAACCAGGACTGAAATACATTGCAAAAAAGTACTATTGAATATTTGAGGGCTCCACATCCTTTATCTCTCTCAAGTGAGGAAGTTGAGGAATGCAAAAGGGATATATTTCAGGATAACAAGAAGGGAGAAAACACTGAAGGGGGGGTGGCTGCTTTAAACCTTCCACCCATAATTTACTAAAATTTCTGCTGGCGTTTAAAGTTACCATTTTCTACCCAGTTTCCACCGTCTCTGCTTTACTCAAACTTCCACCACTTTAAACCACTGCTTTCTGCCTCTCAGTGTGCCTCCCTTCCTCACTCCCATGCTGCTGTTGTGCAGCCTGCTTTCACATTTGCTCCTCTATCCTGCCCTGACTTCATTCAAATCCAGGTTTGTGATGTGGCACTGCAAGCCTCCAGTGGGGGCTGTTTGATAACATTCTTACACTTACCGGTATATTATATACAGAGAAACCAATCCTCCCTCCCAATTAGGCTTTCTGGAGGAGGGTTTCTCCCCAACCTCAATCTGAATAAAACCTGCAGTCATTTTGATTTCATATCTGTATCGTCTTACATTAGTCTTGTCTGAGCTGCTTCCACTTCCACTTTCCATTATGTCATCAGATTCAAAAAAGTGGAAAAGTGAATATCAAAAGCAGATGAGGAAAACTGCTTTAAAATTTAAAAGGTGATTGAGATAGTTATAGATTCTAAACTCTGTACACATGAATGAAACAAAATGAGTATGTACAGTGTATGTGTACACCTAAATGTCTTTGAGGAGAGAAAACAGGATACACCACCCATGGCCAGTAATGTATAATATTGTACACTTGTTACACAGAAAACTGTATGCATGGTCTGCAGAAGTGCTGTTTTCCCTCCCATGTGCCGTATGCCAATTTTTTCTGCCTATTTAATTAAGGGTACCTGGGAGTAAACCCCACTGAACCCCACAGGACTTATAAGGAACTTCCTTGCCTCGCCTCGCCTCACCCTCACTCCAGACATTTTGAGTACTTGAGTCATGTGAAATCTAGTAATTTCTAATGTGGTATTGCGATAAGGTTATTTTTTTCAGGGGAGGGCACAAGGGACCCTGTGTACACCTCTGGGTGTTTGTATATTGATGATTTAGTAAGGAGGTGATATATGTGTGAATTATATATATTTTTGTGTAAAAGTAGTTGATACTGACAATTAATAGCATATACATTGCAATTTATATACTGCATATTAACACTTCCGGTAGTTTGCCTTGGTAGAATATATGGTCTAGTATCAAGTTAATAAAGTTTTTGTGAGCAGAATATATACACAAAGGAAGCAAAGCCTCGGCAAGGTCATACATTCTTTTCTGCTGCAGGGCATAACATTTTAATATTTAGATCTTTCAAAAAGCAAAATCTCTTGACATTTGTGCTTTGCTTTTGTAATTTTTATAGTTTGCCTCATTTGCTGTTTTCATGTGGCTATGATGTTTAGTCACTTCAAATGTGTTGTAGTTCAGTGTAAACAGCTTTGTTAATGTTAGCTTCACTTTGGAATTAAATTACTCTGAAGTGGCAAAGCTACTGGCACGATCCAGCTTAGGCCATCCTGACCCCATTTACTTGGGAGTAAGCTAAGCCCCACTGAATCCAGTTCCCATTGGACTAACCTCTGACTAAACATGGTTAGGATTGCAGTGTAAATTTGCCATTAGATTACAATATGTAAAGTTTGAGTAGTCAACTTAGTAAAACCTGGTTATTTTCAAAATAGTATAACTTTTCAGTCCCAGTTATACAGATACACCATTCTGGAGTTCCTACTGTGTCATGTGCAAGGGTGTAATTGAGTAAATATCTGACAATGTACATCATTTTATCTTGATAGACTTGCTCTTTAACATGCTTTTGGAAGTTGCACCTTTGAGCCAGTTATAAGGGACATCACAGTAGGATATTTTATTTTATTTTATTTATTGCACTTCTGTTCCATCTTTTTCTCCAAGGAGCTCAAGGTGACATACATGGTTCTCCTCCTCCTCCTCATTTAATACCCACAACTACCCTATGTAGTAGGTTTTACTGAGAGGCAGTGACTGGCCCAAGGTCACTTTGTGAGCTTCATGGCTGAGTGGGGATATGAGTCCTGGTCTTCCAGATCCTAGTCCAACCACTCCAGCATGTAGGAACAAATCATTCTGACCATAGAATTGTAATTATCTGAATTATATTTTCACATATTTTCAGTATCTCGAGAATGAGGTACATGCCAAGGCTGCATATGAGTGCACTCAAAAGGAAGGATTTTCTGCAGAAATAATGCTGCAAAGTAACTTCACTATAGTTTTACTGTAATAAAAAAAAAGAAAGATACCAAGCCTTTAGCACACATTCAGGATTTTTTACCAGTATGTTAAGACTTACAGATAAGTGAACCAAGTTTATAAGGAGAGATACCACTAATGCCAGCGTGATTAATGAGGAGAGTCAGGGAAGCTATTGAAGAAGGCTTCATTCAGAAAAATACTTCCTTTTTTGTTCTCATTTGGCAAAGGGAGCACAGCCCTTGGGGGGAGGGGAATGCAAACAATAAGGGATTTAAAAAAGAATTTGAGGAGCAAATTACCAAAAACCAAAAACATTAAAACCAACAATAATAAAAAAGAGGTGAAATAAAATGGAGACCAGCTATGGAGGCAGTCCTCTTATGGATCAGTAACTGGTTAAAGAACAGGGAGAAGTGACCAAGAAAAGCTTCTCAGAAGAGTCCCCTGAGTGTTTGAAGTTTTGCTGCTTTTCATGAAGTAATGAAGGTCACCTTCCCTTCACAGGAATGTGGACAGTTCTCCCAATGGAGGGATGTAGAAAGCCAAGTCCCCCAAGATTCTTGGTAGACTCCACTTTTGAACTTGTTCATAAATAACCTGGGGTTAGGGGTGAGCAGTGAGGTCACCAGATTTGCTGTTGACACCAAATTGTTCA